TTATCTCTCTGGCCGTTGAAGCCACTTGAGTTTGCTTTACATGCTAGTTGTATAGCCAGATCTGTTTATGAAACTTTAGATAGTCTTCTGGAATGCTGTGCTTACTGGACATTTGCACAGGGTGTCCAGCAGGCACCTCAAACTCAAACACAATCAAAACTAAAGCATTCTTCCCTTCCCCATGCAACATACTCTTCTCTAAGAGTTCCTATGTCCAAGCTAGAAATCTATTCATCACTTTGACTTTTCTTTTACTCTCCATTATACTATAAATAAGATTTTACGTTGGGGTCTTAAAAGCTTGCAAGTGGTCATTTAAGTTACAACTATTTGTCTCTTCCTGTGTGGTGGTGTAGTGCCTAAGGCATTTGACTGCTAACCAGAAGGCTGGCGGTTCAAATCCACCAGCTGCTCCTGGGAAGGAAGATTGGGCAATCTACTTCTATAGAGATATGGCCTTGGAAACCTAATGAGGGGTCGCTATGAGTCGGATCCGACTCAGTGGCAGTGTTTTTTTTTTTTTTCTGGTTTGTCAGGAGCAAAGGAGAGTGAAGAAAACCAAAGATTTAAGGGAGCGATTAGTCCAAAGGACTAACGAACCCCATGAACCACAGCCTTAATAACCCTATGATTAGAAGAACTAGATGGTACCAGACTACCACGACCAACTCTTCTGGCTAGGATCACAACAGATGGTCCTAGAATGAGCAGGAGAAAAGCATAGAACAAGAAATCAAATTCAGTAAAAAGACCAGACTTACTGGTCCAACACAGACTGGAAGAACCCCCGAGACTATGGCCCTAAGACACCCTTCTGACCTGGAAGTGAAGCCATTCCTAAAGATCAGTTTTCAGCCAAATAGTTCTTATTAAAAAAAAACAAAAAACAAAAAAACACCACTCACTGCCACTGAGTCGATTCCGACTCATAGAGACCCACATTGGGTTTCCAAGGTGGTAAATCTTTGATGGAAGTAGCTTGCCCAGTCTTACTTCTGTGGAGTGGCTGGTGAGTTTGAACTGCTAACCTTCTGGTTAGTGGTCAAATACCTTAGGCACTGAGCCACCAGAGCTCCATAAACAACCCACTATAGAACGTGTACCTTAGAATAATAAAGTATCTAAGATCAAAAGGACAACATTTGCCCAAAAGCAATGATGAGAGGGCAGGAAGGGGTAGAAAATTCAGAGGAAAGGAAATGGGGAACCCAGGGAAGAAATGGGGAGAGTGCTGATACACTGTGGGGAATGCAACCAATGTCATGGAATACTTTACATAAAAATTATCAAATGGGAAACTAATTTGCTCTGTATACTTTGACCTGAAAAAAAAAAAACAAAAAAAACCAAACCCAACCCACTGCCATCAAGTTGATTCTGACTTATAGCGACCCCCCATAGGGTTTCCAATGCTGTAAATCTTTACAGAAGTGGATTGCCTCATCTTCCTCCCATGAAGCAGCTGGTGGGTTTGAACCACTGACCTTCTGGTCAATAGTCAAATGGCTTACCCACTAAGCACAATAAAAATTAAAACAACAACAAAAAAAGAATACGAAAATAAGATGTCGTTCACAATAGTAATAAAACTACAGGAAATAACCTAAAGAAGAATGCCAAAGATCTTTTCAGGGGGGAAAAAAAGTTAAAACTCTATAAAGTATGAAAAAGAGTGAATAAATGATGTAAAAGAAGAATATACATGGGTGGGATATCTTAACATAGTACAGTTTTATGTTAATTCTTCCTAAATAAGTCGATACACTGAATGCAATACCAGTAAAAATTACACTGAATGAGAAGCCCAACAAATGATTTTAAAACTTATATAGAAGAATAGAGATTCATGAATGACTAAATCAATTTTAAAAAAGAAAAGAATAGGGACTTCCCTACTAGATATTAAGATATACTACAAAGCCAAAGTTACAGCATAGGTAGAGACTAATAGACAAGCATAACAGAATAGAGAGTTCAGAAATGGAACCACATATATTTGAGAACTGAATATATGATAAAAGTGAGACCACAAAAAATGGAAAGGAAATGTTCTTAAGAAAACCAGACCGCTATGCAGAAAAAATACATGTACAGCCTTCTAACTGGAGTAGAAACTTAAATATGGAAAGCAAAATTATAAGGTTAGATAAAAGAAAATCTAACCCAGGGGTGGGAAAAGCTATCATGAATAAGATTCAAAGGCTCAAATCATGAAACAAATGAATAAAATGAAGTAGTGATTTGACTACAGACAAAGTAAAATGAAATCTTTGACCACTTCAATCTTCTGTTTATCATGGTGCTCCTCATTGGTCCAGTTGTGAGTATTTTTGTTTTCTTTATGTTGAGGTATAATCCATATTGAAGGCTATAGTCTTTGATCTTTATCAATAAGTGCTTCAAGTCCTCTTTACTTTCAGCAAGCAAGGTTGTGTCATCTGCACATTGCAGATTGTTAATGAGACTTCCTCCAATCCTGATGCTATGTTTTTCTTCACATAGTCCAGCTTCTTGGATTATTTGCTCAAAATACAGATTAAGTAAGTATGTTGAAAGACTACAACCCTAACTCACATCTTTCTTGATTTTAAACCATGCAATATCCTTTTGTTCTGTTTGAACACCTGCCTCTTTATCTATGTACTGGTTCTGTCTGAGCAAAATTAAGTGCTCTGGAATTCCTATTCTTTGCAATGTTATTCATAATTTGTTACAGTCAACACAAGCAAATGCCTTTACACAGTCAATAAAACACAGGCAAACATCTTTCTGGTATTGTCTGCGTTCAGCCAAGATCCATCTGGCATCAGCAATAATCTCTCTCATTCCATGTCTTTTTCTGAACGTGGCTGGAATTTCTAGCAGCACCCTATTTTTGAATTATTTTCAGCAAAATTTTACTTGTGTGTGATATTAATGGGAGCTCTGGTGACATAGTACCTGAAGTAGATGATTCTATTTTATAATTTTTGTGAGAAACCCACTCCCTTCTTCCTTTGCTAAACCAAGCATCCCTGAGAAACCCACTCCCCCATCCTTTTTCCTGAGAGCCCTGCTCATCTTCCTTTCCCTGAGAGCCAGTAATTCCCAGAATTAGAGGCCCACATCCTGCCAACAGCAATTCTCAGAATTGAGGACCCTCACTCCAGATTGTGTGTTTCTGTTCTGATAATAAGCTGACCACCAAACTTCCTTAAAAGAGTAAACTGACCATTAATCTTCCCTAAACAATAACCTGGCAATTTATCTCACTTCCGGAACACACTTGCTTGCCTGCTTGCAGTCCTAAGCTATATAAACCTGCCTATAAATCAGGCTCAGGGCTGCAGTTGAGGAGAACACTTCAGTTTCCTGCAGCCTGGCTAAAGCTGAATAAAGACTCTTTCAAATTCTGGGCATTATAGTGGTCATCAATTTCTTCTGAACCCACAACAGTACCTAAGGCATTTGACAGCTAACCAGAAGGCTGGTGGTTCAAACCCACCCCCACTCCTTGGAAGGAAGACAGGGCAATCTGCTTCCCTAGAGATACCATCTCAGAAACCTAAGGAGGGGTCACTAGGAGTCAGAATTGACCCAATGGCAGTGAGTTTGGTTTGATTTGGTGATAGCAATGACACAGTCCAAAAATTTCCACATTCTGTTGGATCACTTCTCTTTAGAATGGGCAGTACTACTCTCTTTTACATGGGAGCGGAATGTATCATGTTTTCCTACTACATTTCCTTTGATGACTAGAGGAGCATTGTCTGCTTGACCACAGGGTATAATTCTCACATTTTCAGATGGTGCTTTGTAGAAGGGCTAGTGGAAAAGGTATGCCCGACCTAGAGAGGATAGGTTACTGTCAGTCACAATCTATGACCTGGCGGGCCATACACAGAGCAAAACAAAAACAGAGCTGCTACTGAACCTGGACACCAAACAAGATTCTTATGTTTAGCTATGTTCAAAAAATATTTATGGACACCTGCTCTGTGCTGGACTCAGGGTGAGGAGGATAGAAAAACATGGTCTCAAACCAAGCATTTGGAATTCAAGATCTAACTGACGTTGGAAAATGAAAAATCCACATCAGATTAAAGGGTGGTCAACCAATGCCAGTCTCCACGCAGACGAAGAACCATATAAATCCATCCAATCGGAGAATTTTTCTCTCCTGCCGCCACAGAATCTTGCTGCTTGCTTTCCCACCAGGGATGTTACTCTCCGCAAGTCAGACTTAATCAACTTGTTTTCTTTTCCCTGGGGCTAAACTGATAAAATCAGTAGCGAATGACTAAGTAAATTGGGCGTCAGAACACTAGGGTCTAATCCTGGTTTATAATTTTCTCTATAATCCTTGGCTAAGTATTTCTCCAAGACAGTGTCCTCATTTGTAAAATGAGGAGCTGGTAAGTGTACTCTATACATAAACCTTTCTCAGAGAAAAGCAACTCCAACAGCGAGAGACCAGGAGTACGACATTCTCTACTGCTCCAAGACATAGAAAACCACTTTAAGCACCACACCATCTCCACGTCCTCACTACACGCCCGCAGTCGGCGGGAAGTGCGCATGTGCGTTATCAGACCCTGCCCGCTTTCCGTCGCTTCCTTTTCTGTTTTGGTCCCGCCCATTACCCGGCCCATCGTTTCCGGTTCGGAACAGGAACAGCTGGAGCGAGCGCCTGCGGTCCCTGCTTCCCTGGCCCGCCCACTACCCCAGTCCTCCTTTCGCTTTCTCGGTCGCAGGGGAAGGTAGTTGCCAACAAAGTTTTTCGGTTTCAGGGTTGCGCGGAACGCAGCTTAGCCTGCCTCCTCTCGCTTGTTGCCCGCAGGCGCGCTTGGCTACGGGCAACGAGCTTTAGGTCGTCATGGCTAGGGGCTGCCGCGGCCGGGCGACTGTGAGGCTACCTTTCGTTGCGCGCGCGCTCCCGTGGTCTTTGGCCCCGCGGGCTCCCGCCTTGGCCTGAGAGTAGCCCCCCCCCCGCGCCCGTGGGCCCCCTCGCATCAAACCATATGGCCTCCGAGGTGCCGTCCCAGCCCCCGTCGCCTTCGTCGTCGCCACCCACTTCTCCCGAGCCCGAACTGACCCAGCTGAGGCGAAAGGTGGAGAAGTTGGAACGCGAGTTGAGGAGCTGCAAGCGGCAGGTGCAAGAGATCGAGAGGCTGCTGCATCACACGGAACGGCTGTATCAAAGCGCCGAGAGCAACAACCAGGAGCTCCGCACTCAGGTGCGCGGTCTGCCTCCACCCCGCGCCCCGTGCAGCCGAGGCGAGGCCTTGGAAGTCTTTTGACTACTAGCCTCTGGCACCTGGCCTTCGTTACAGAATTGCTTTATAAAGTACTTAAAGTATTAAGGGGGAGGGGGGGAAATCTCAATGCAGTAATCCCGGTACTTATGGAGCAAATTTAGGAATTCAGGTTTACTCCATTTTATAAGTGTGTGAGGAACAGTTATGGCTAGTGTGACTTGAACTTGCATGTTTTGTTCACATAATGCTCATTCTCACCTGTAAAGTCTCATTGGCAGTGGGCTCATCTGTAATGTTTTATTCTAGATCATTTTTGAGTTTGTTAATGGCGCTGGACTTAAACTGAGAAGCTCACTTCCCCCACTCATTAAATATGTGAATAATATTGAGCCTCAATTACCCATAAAATGGAGATAATGGTACCACAGAGTTGTGAAGGTTAAATTAAGTGTGAAACCGTTTCCCAAACTCTTGAAAGCTATACAAGTTTATGGTAGTTATTCTGAGCGTTTATCATCTTGGGTTTTCTAGTGGAAGTGGGGAAGATACAAACTGCCTTAGTTGGAGTCATTAAGCAGCTTATTTCGTTTTCAAAATATATGTTGTTATGTGTCCTCGAGTTGGCCCCGAGTCATAACAGACCCCCTCTTGGGTTTCCGAGGTGGTATCACTATGGAAGTAGATTGCCCAGCCTTCCGAGGAGTGGCTGGTGGGTTTGAACCGCCATGCTTCTGGTTAGCAGTCAAGTGTCTTAGGCACTGTGCTACGAGAGCTCCTTCAAAATATTATCGTTGTTGTTATGTGCTGTCGAGTCAAGTCCGACTCATAGCGACCCCTCCTTGGGTTTCCGAGGCAGTATCACTACGGAAGTAGGATTGCCCAACCTTCCTTCCGAGTAGTGGCTGGTGGGTTTGAACCGGCAGTCAAAATATATAGTATGGGCAAATATTTCAAATTTTTCTGACTTTAACAAATCATTTTAAAGGCTAGCGAATCATTTTAAATGCTAATTTCCGAGTAGAGGAAGGACCAAATAAATCCACCCATCCAGCCTTAGCATTTTTCTCTCTTGTCTCCACAAAATCTAGCTGCTTGGTTTATTTTTTTTCCCCTAGCTTGATTAGTTGGGCAAATGCACTCTTTGAATGTGTAACTTAAGGCTTAAAAAGAAACCCTAACGCACTGCGGTTGATAGAGACCCCTCCCCTTGGGTTTCTGAGGCCCTATCAGTAAGGAAGTAGATTGCCCAACCTTCCTTCTGGAGGAGTGGCTGGTGGGTTTGATTGGACAGCCTTCTAGTTAGCAGTCAAATGCTTTGGGCACTATGCCACCAGAGCTCCCAATCCTCATAAATAACTAATTTCAATTTAACTGTTGCCTACTCCCTAATTTTTGGTACATTTTCTGAAATCTCCTAGATAGAAAAACACTGAAACTTTATCAAACTTTGTTACTTGTTACCAGGAGCCATGAAAATAGGATTTGCCCTGACTTGAGATATCCATTGTATAGAGTTATTGACATTATATACATAGAAAGCAGTTTTCATTTACTAACAACTAGCTTTTGAACAAAAGGAGCTCCTATGGAGCAGTGGTTAAGTGCTTGGCTGCTAACCTAAAGATCTGTGATTCAAATCCACCAGCCACTTACTGGGAGAAAGATGTGGTAGTCTGCATCCACAAAAGATTATAGTCTTGGAAACCCTAAATCCTTTGAGGGTGGTTCTACTCTTAAGTAGAGTCACTATGAATCAGGATTCACTTAACTTGCAGTGGGTGTGTTAAGTGGGTTTTTTTGTTTTTTTTTTTTTTAAATAAAGCTCTTGAACATCTGCAAGAGCTAGTAAGGACTATTCTAGGAAAAGACAGATGGTGGTAAAAGTAATTGTGAATGGTGGGATGCAAAATATAACAAACTTCAAATTCCTTCAAAATTCTAAATTGTTAAAATACTGCCTACTGTAACCAAAAACCCATTGCTCTTAAGTTGATTCCGACTGTGGTAACCCTATAGAGATTATGGAAATTTTTTTTTTTTTTTTTGGCTAATCTTTGAAGAGCTGCCAGCATTTTGATTATTAATTTGATAGTGATCTAACATGAAAAAATTCAAATGCATATGAAGTCTTGACTTTGCTGCTGATGGTAGTACCTCCTCCCTATTTTCTAGTCAGCCTTTCCTGATGGTGGGTGGGGTGAAATTTTGTTCTTCACTGAAATTACTGAATTGTGGTTATCTGGAGCAGAAAAACATTCGCTTCAGGATGAACTAGTAGAAAAATATAGTATGTACAATCTTTGGAGTCAACCTTGTGCAGATTACTTTGTTTCTTCAAGATTTTTCATCTGTTGATATTAGATATCATTGAATCTGACTCATATTGACCCTGAGTTTTCATCTGTAGAATAGGGATTAAGACAGCGTGAGAATGAATGCTTTACATTTGGCACCTTACATACCTTGTTTGCGTCAAATCTAATCTCAGCCCTGGTTACAGAGGGTCTGGTAATTTGTAGAATGCCTAGATAAACTGTCTAATCTACTTTCTCCTTTTAAGCTTTATATATTATTAAAGAATGGTTCAAAGCTTGTTTTCTGGTTAGTTTCATGCTTATTCATCGGCTCACGCTGAAGAAATGTGAAGGTTGAAGTGTGTTGACAGGCAGTTCCTCACTCTGTTGATTTGGTCTATGTAGCATCCTTTCAGGGCCTTTCCATGAGACACATGGAGGACAGATTTCTCTCAGAAGTAGTCACCTTTGTTCCCTTCTCCAGTTCTTTAGTCATAAGACTGCTATTTAAAGAAAAATGTGCAGTAAAATATTTAGGGCGTTAACATAAGTGAATAGTTACTTCAAGGTGGACATTAATATTAGAAAATAAAATTTAATATAGGTGGAAATTTATATTTTTTACTTTTATAATTCTTTAGGGAGAATTGCTGACCTTTTAAAATATTTGTGTATGATCACATTCTTTTTGTTAGTGATAAAGGATCCTGTTTCCAAAGTCTAATTATCATTGGTATTTTGGTGGGGGTATTTAGAAGTCTAGTAAGATATTTTAAAAATGAAAACACTTACCTCTGAGATTGAACATTTACCTGAGGTAGACACACTTCTTGGAGAGAACAATCATGGGAGAAAGAAGGGCTGTTTACGCACATGAAGGGATGGACACAGGGAAGAGGTAACTATCTGGAGAATGGGGGAGGAGAGCTTTGGGGTAAGTTGTAGTCAGTGGCGTGAGACAAAGTGTATGTGAACTGCTATATGGAAAGTGAATTTGCTCTGTAAACTTTCACCCAAATCACAATAGAGAAGAAAAGAAAGGGAAAAAAAAAAAGAATGTGCCAGTGGTATAATCACATGACTCATGACCTATCTGGTCCTGCCCTGCCTAAAACAAGCCAAAACACATCTTCAGATTGAACATACCCTTGTATTTGTATCATGCTCTTTGGGATCACTCTTGACCTGTCAGTATCAGAAGTAGTCCAATGAACTGTTCACTGTTCACAGACAAAGTGTCAAAGGACAGATAGTGCATCATTTTAAGTAGCATTTCATGGTGAAAGTCATTTGTGGGGAGCTGCAAAGAGCCCATCCACAATCACATTATTTCCTATTGCCTTACAAGTACTATTTGTTTTGACTATCTCAGATGTGAAGAATGACTATCTAAGATGTGAAGAACAAAATTACAAGTTGCAAATCAAATTTTTTTATTTACCAATTTTCAAAAAGAAATTTTTGTGTTAATGTCCAAATAAAAATGTAAATTTTATTTTTATAAAAAAACCCCATCTACCTCTGAGAATCAGATGAAAAGTTTCCTTTGTGAAAATGAAACTAGCTGCTCTTGGTGGTTCTCTAAAGCTTTTACCAAGAAAAGTAATTACTTATTGTAGGTTCAGGAGAATGGTGTATATTATTAGATTGGTATATGATTTGTTTTTCCTAAAGCCTTATTTTCTTTCAGGTGGAAGAGCTCAGTAAAATACTTCATTGTGGGAGAAATGAAGATAATAAAAAGTCTGATGTAGAAGTACAAACAGAGAACCACACTCCTTGGTCAATTTCAGGTATCAGCTTATTGTGAGCCTATCCTAATATTGTTAAATTCAAATCATGTTAAGGTGAAGTTTCCTTAAATTTAAAAGAAAGAAAGATCCAGATAAATAGAAGTACTTTAAAATGCTAATCCCTTTCCATCTGAGTTGATATTTTCAGATAATAATACTCTTTTGGTGGAAAAAGTAGAAATTGTTGTCATTCCTCTAAGAGCAGTGTTGCTAATGTGCTTTCGGTGGCATATTCTGAGGAATTCTTGCCTTGCACTGATGGGTGTGACTGAGCCATCTACTCTCATATCTGGCCCTCCTTGTGACTAGGGGCATGTTTTCATGCTGATGCATCCCACTTATCGTTGTGTTTAGTGACTGAACTCTGGTATTTTGTTGAGGCAAAATAACGTACTGAGTTAAATGAACATGAATTACAAGAGGTGATCTTTTCTTGGTAGGTTTTATTTATTGTTATTGTGATTTGGGTAAAAGTTTACAAAGCAAATTAGTTTTCCATTGAACAATTCATAAATGGATGATGTCATTGATTACAGTCCCCACAATGTAACAGCACTTCTCCCACTTCCTCCCAGTGTTTACCATTTTCTTGTCTCCTTTCCTATCCCTTCCTGCCTTCTTAGCTTTATCCTTGGGCATATGCTGCCTTTTTAATCTCTGTGGTATTGTTCTAATGAATCCTGCATTCCTCCCTGGTATTACTGTTCACCATATAGGCCTCTCTCTTATTAGGCTGAAAGTTGAGCCATCGTGGTATATCTACCTCAGGTAAATGTTCAACTCATATACCTGTCTTTTGCTTGGCTGGAAGCCACAGGTGTGGGTTCAATTCCAGACCTGGTGGGCAGCTAGGGGCCATAGTCTCAGTGGTTCCACCGGGCTCTATCAGATCAGCAAACCTGGTTCCCCTCGCTTTTTTTTTTCCTCCAAATTATTTTGAGTTTTGTCTACATTGTTCTCGCTCTCTATACAGGATCTCCTACATAGATCCCCTTCCAAGTGGTTGACATTGGTAGCCGGGCACCATTTGGTTCTTCTGGTCTCAAAGTCGTATAGGCTGCAGATTGGATGGTGTACCAGTCACTAGAACTGATTGTATCCATGAATTTTTGGTTTTCTTCATTCTTCTTTGCTCTGGACAGGGAGAGACCCATTGTTGCATCTAGGTGGCAGCTTGCAAGCTTTTAAGAGCCCAGTCACTACTTGTCCAAAGTAGGAGGTGGAATAGTGTTTTGTGTAGTATGTTACGCCAATTGAGGTTGATGTCCCCTGCGACTGTGGTCCCAAACCCACAGGTTCAACTACTTGGTCCCTCTGGGTAGCTGGCTGTGACCAAGCAGTGACTACCACCTTACCTCTTGTCAGCTCTACTATACACCTGGGAATTCAGATCATACACATAAACTTATAGGACCGTTGTCTGCCAACCCTATACATGTTCTTGGGTATACTCCCTGCTTCATAGACACACCTACTAGTTCATCCTGTCCATCCATCTGTCCACCCATCTATCCACCTGTATACCCATGTTTTCCTTCACTGACAACACAGTACTGTATGTGCAAAAGGGTTCATCTTTGTTGTCTGTACCTCCCATGGACCTCTCTATGTCTTTCTCTTCCTCGTTACCACCATATTGATCACTCACATTTGGTACATTGCCCTTCTCTTCACCCAAATCAATACATATCTATGTCTGTCTAA